AACGAGATTCATCCGTCCTCATCTGGTGAGATCGACCAATGAATCTCTTCTTCATTCACTTTCATACGAACTGAAAGTCCCCCTAATTATATTATTGAACTCTAATATGATGTTCTTTTTCTATATCTGATTTTATTTATGGGAAAATATTTTCTCTTTTAGCCCCAAATGTCTCTTTGTTCTAACAATCTTAAACTATTGTTATTTCTTCGTTTCCTATTATTTCTGCTAAAATATAGTTAATTTTATTATTCTTCATTTAAAAAATAAAATAACTGATAAAGTAACGAAATCTTAGATCCTGAAATACTCCTTATGACTTACTTCTTACTTTTACATTATAAATTAAAAAATATCCTTACAAAGGTCTGAAATATCACAATTCGGCCAACTAAAAACGAGCCGCTGATTCTATCAGCTACATTGCAAATGTCAAAACATGCACAGGGTTAAAAAATTAAACACAAAATTTAATGAAAAAATCTTGCCCTTACTTTACTATTCCTGTTACTAGAATCACCTTTGCCATGCCCAAACCCGCCATTTACGATAGTCCTTTCGCCTTAGCTCCCTCCATGTTTTCTTCTGGTGCTTACTCCGGGCACACTTCGCATCGTCTCGTAGGCCTTGTTACAAAGTTGTATCCTACATTTGGATACATAAATAATGAAATATTTTTCCAAAAAGAGTAAGATTCATTTCTAATGTTTCAAGATCCGTGATTGGGCCCATGGTGAAAATTGGTGATGAAGTAGCTGCTAACGCCATTCACAAACCGGAGTTGCCTATTAAATGGACGGCCGAGAAGGTCTGGCTTCTTGGAGTGGATGGTTCTGGCTCGTCTGATGATAGAGAGCACAAAGTGATTCGTCCTCAAAGGCCGGATCCTCCTCGACCTCGAAGGGACTCCCCTCTAAGATATAACGACAGGAAAAGGACGCATGAGCGATCAAGGTAATTTTACCCGCCATCATAATTTTTAAGGTCTCGAGAATCAAGATCTCCTCGCCGTGGGTTTAGCCCCAGGTCGCGACGCGACGATGATCCTCGGATTTCTGCTGGTCCCGCGCACCTGAGCAAATCATATGAAGAAAAAGTCCCTTCATATCCCCTTAATTCATTCTCTCTTCTTCCAGCAGATCTAATAAAGAGGTATACGTTTCTCCTACCTCCAGTAGATCTATACTCCCTCAAATGTCATTGGCAAACATCTTATCCAGTTCTGCGACCGTTTAACTTAGCTCAAGGTGCAATCTTTCAGGTAATTAAATTTTTCCTTAATAATCTTCTAGGTTATTAGCAAACAATCCAAACCTAGCATTAAAGTACAGAGGGCTGTCCATCCTGATCGTCAATTTTTCGTTAAAGTTCTTCTACTCTCTATGCCTTCAATGCTAGATCTCTATGAACGTGTTATTGTACGTGCTGAAGCTGGCGGTCGGCCAAAGGGCTCCTTACGAAAATCAATAAAGCTGTTGGCCTCTGGGAGAGTCAATGAGTGCTTTAAGGCGGTCGGTGGTCCTTGGATCCAAGAACTAGATGGTGATGATCCAATGGGCACTCAAACAGTCATCAACACAGCAATTCGATGTTGTAAAGAGCTGATTGGTCTTGATCTATCGGCTTGCACACAGTGGTGAGTCCATATTTAGCTACTGCAAAAACCTGCTAGAATATAGGAGCATTTTTAAATCATAGAATTTATATCGTGTCTATTTTGCCTCATTTGGGGGTTATTGCCATCGTCATGCATTTAACATTTTTCTGTCTAAGATACTTCATCTTAAGGCGTCTAGCTCACTATCCATACAGATCCTAGATCGCAAAGCAAGGCGTTCTAAGCTCAGCTTAGTCGCTAGTCAGCACTTCTTTCCGATCCACTGAGCTCATTTCACTGTTTATGTGGATTTCTATTGTAAAAAGGTAGGTTTTAAATACAGATAATTTCTTCAGGAACTTTATATTCTTTCGTTACCATGCCCAAACTGCACCGAGTACTTGATCGTCTATTGTGCTTTGACCTTTTCCAGGAGCAGATTCCTCGAGTTTCGATATAACCTCTCTGAGTCTCAACCTGCTTCTTCTGTGGACATTTTGTTTCCAGGATCGGATCTTTGGGGTTCAACATTCAAATCAAGCTCTAGAATCGCGGGTTCAATAAGCGATAAAAAAGACACGGACCCACGTTCTATTCGAAAACCCTATCATCGAATCGTCACTTATTTGATTCCCGATGTTTGGTCGCTGATGCCTTCGCCAGAAGCTTGGGAGAAAATCAAAGAATCCTATACAAATCCTGCTTCAGTTGCAAAAGAAAGTTTTATAAAAGATTCAAGTGAATCGGATTTAAGTAACGTGACCCATTCAAACGAATCGCAACCTGAAGATAATTCAAAGCTCAAGGTCTCCGAAGAGCAGATTCAAGAAATTAATGAGAAAATGGATGAAGTAAAAAAAGAATCAACCCAATTTGAAACTGCAACGGAGCCAGATGAAGAAACCTTAAATGACATAGAGAAGGTTACTATCGAACTCAAAGATTCTGAGAAAGAAAGCTTTGACGATCTCGTGGAGAGTAGTGCGGCCTCAGCAACTAACACTTCAGCCGGCGGGGCAACTCAAGTTGGCGAAGCAGAAAACCAGGTTTTTACACAATTTGCTAATTCCATCCTACTCTACTGGCCTCAAATATTTGTCATTATCAGCCCTCCATATCGCGCAAGCTCGCTCTCCTTTCCGTTGACTTAACTTCTTTTCTTTCAATACGAGCGCTCAAGATGAAATTTGTTGATTCATTCTTTGCCGCCTCAGGCGGTCTTTTATTGGCTTTAAATCAGACCTTAAAATCGCTGGTTCACCTCAAGCTACCTGAGGCTACGTTCTAACCTTAATCCGGTTTTTACTTACTAATTCACTCATCAACTTTGCTGAATCGTTCATATTTTTTAGGTCGAAAAACGTACGGAGTCCTTCATCAAGAAGTCCTACACTGACTTGAATGTTAATGCTATGAAAGTCTGTTACTTTTTTATTTTAAGTCACTTCGAGCTCAGAGCTTCCACTAAACTTACGTTATTTGATTATTTAGGTTTCCGAACTGCGAGAGCAACTGGCTTCACGAAATCTAAATGCAGCTGGTGTCAAGGCACAACTATGTCAGCGTTTGAAGCAGGCCCTCGAAGCGGAGGAGACAGAAGCGTTGGAGAATGCTAGAAAAGCGAGCGAGGAAGGTCCGTTTACTTACTTTTTTAATTCTTATTCATTGACTTATCTGCTCTAATTTCTAACAACCCTGTCTTTTAGCTGAGAAAAAACGAAAGGCCAATGAAACTGCGAAATTGGCTTTCTCTTGTTCTGGAGATAAAGGGATTT